TTACTGTCTATAGTAAAAATAGTTAATGGGATTCTCTATTTGGTCACTAACACAGACTAATATAAAATGTATGGTAATTACAAAGATAAATTTAACTATTTAATAAACAACAGGATAGATTTTTTTTAAAGAGATCTTCTGCCTAGAATTCCTCAGTCAGTAACTAAAGCATCACAGTTTTCTCTAACTGATTATGCTAAAATCTGCAAACATCAATTTGATAATGTTTAAATATGTACCAGTTGCTTCTTTCCACCTCATCAGTGTGTATGGCTTTGTCAACACAGCCATTTTGAGATGAGATTCTCATATATATACATATGTATATGTATATGTATATAGGTATGTATGTATAGATGGATACGGATATATATGTAAAGTACTGCTGGCTTTTAAGAGTTTCAGATACATCTGATCAAAAAATCCATCAAGGTAATAGGTCTTGGTTTTGAAACTGGTTTGTTGTGACATTGTGTCTAACCACAGTATTTATTGAATGAGACTGTTGTGAATGTATAGATTTAAGTTTAATACTAATAAAACAATTATTAAATGTAAGTAAGTTCTCTTGTAAACTAAATTGTTAAATTACAACATGGTTCCTATTAAAAATATAAATTAACTTTTAAGGAGTCATTGCTTCTGCTCCAGGGTGCAATTTATCCCTATGTTTAGATATATAGAATAAGCATTTTCCAAGTCTGTATAAAACCACTCTAAACCTTTAAAGAAGACTTGGTTATTTAAAACCTGCTTCAAGGCTTGAGGTAAAATCTTAATTGTTTTGTAAATTTGTTTATGAATATTATTAAAAGGGTTAGTTAAATTCTGAGCAGGGTTATAGTACAGTTTTCCTTAAGTGATTATGCTGAGTGATTATACTGGAGGTTGCAAATTTCAATTTGATAATGTTTAACTATGTACCAATTGCTTTTTTCTACCTAAAGCAAGGTTTTGGTAGACCTCTCAAAACTATATAAGGTAAAAGATTTTTAACTGTCTTATGTTTTCTATGAGGTTTACCTGGAAACTTATAGTACACAGTGTGTACACAGGTGATATTAACTTATTACATTATCTTATGTGTATAATTTAGATTCCATGTTCTCTTAAAAAGATGATGCTATACACTACTTTCTTCTGAGTCAAACAACTACCATCTTCATGACTTCAACTGTGTCCACTAACAAAAAATCATCACAATTGGACTTGTGGACTTAAGTGGAGGAGGGGTAAACAGGGTCATTGGACCCTCACCTGAGTATCCAGCTGCTCTTCCCAACCAACTATATGTAATTTGGCCCTAATCATACACGGTCTCCTGGGTTTGGGGAGGACTAAAGTGTATTATCTGGGAAAGGCTAGGAAGAAAAGGCTTGATCCATGCTGGGTTAAGGCTCTACAATGTAAATACACTCAGGTCACTCATATACCCCAGCAACCCCTCAGTCATCTCTGTAACTAAGCTCAATAAATTCATTGGTTCCCCAGAAAAAACTTTAATGCAATCAAACATTGGTTTGATACTACAACCTAAAAAGGGAAAAAACATTGCTTAATATCCCCAGAAAAGAAGTCTCACAACAGATGGAAAGTTTGTTGTTAATGTTATTATGGCTCATGGTTATTAGGAAAGAGAATGGTAAGGAAAAATATGTTAGAAGGATACAGGAATGGAGGTATTTTGTTAAAAATGAGAAAGCCTAAACAAATGATGAAGGTCTATGTAGGTTTGTAATGATTTATCAAGCATGAGAAAAAGATCTTAAAATTTCTAAGGTCATAGCTTAGTCAACTAGTTTAAGGATGTCTCATCAAGGTTTATTTTAAAATGTTTGGGTTTTGCCCAACATGGCACATGTAACTAAAAGTACCAGGTTGGTGTAACTAACCTTGGATGTTTAATAGCTAGACTTTGGGGCCTATACAAGTCTGGTCAGAGGGACTTAAAGGGAGAATTTTTTGTTCCTTGCCTTCCAAGGTCAAACAAGTTCCAGGGGCTATGGAGCATCTCTCTAAATGTCCTGTAACTTTGGTGAGTCACCTGTCCTCTTGTTCAAGGAGGCCATGGAGACCCCAGAAGATGGACTTGAACTAGTGTCCAGTCTACAAAGAGGAGGGGAAACCCAGAGGAAACATTTCCTCCATTCTTCCAAGTGAAGCCCATATGAAGCAGGACCTCTTGACTTATCTTCATGTAGATGGAACTAGTAAAAGCCTGAGGAGCCAGGGGCTCCCCACCCCAAGCCCATGTGACCCCTGAGGAACATATTCTCATATGACCTTAAAGGAATAATATATTGGTTTATTTGGGCCAATTGTATGGCTTTAAGCACCCAAAAGTAAAGTATAAACAAAGATAAAGTCATCAGTATATTTCTTTAAGATTTCATGGGATTATACATCACAGACGCTACACTTAAGTCCTTATAAGATGTTATTTAGACAATTATTTCTCATTGGTGATTTTGTTCCTAATAGGAGAGTGCTACTCAGGTGTAGGACTTTAAATCTTGGTCTTCAGTACTGCAGTGCCCATCTGCAGCTGAAGGAAACAACTCACTATTGTTCTAAAATGATGGCTAAATTTGTTTTCTCTCCCTATCTAGAGGCCATTTGAGAGGGAGCTGATTCTATCCACTTCAACAGTTATCAAAGTGCCTGACAACAAATTGTATAACTCTCAATCATCAGTCCAGCCCTAACAGACAAAAGAAAAATGAAGAGAAACCTGTTAGATGGATGCTTTTGGGAGCCCTCATTAAGAAATTCCAATGGACTTTAATTTGGACATTTTCTGGTTCCCTGCCTAGAAATTGTAATATTAACTACTCTTGCCTTGACTCTTATCTTTACTTTTCCTTCACATCTCTCAGGCACCAGTCAAACACCTTCCTTTTCTCTATATAATTGAGAGTTATACAATTTGGGAGTCTTTTAGATAGACCCACTGAAGGGGGTACCCCAATTGCCTCACCCTGCATCCCTGTTCAGCATGGAAGAAGCCAGAGCGGTCTGCATCCCAATTCCCTATTGGCAATTTGGGTAAGCCTCTTCAGAGAGTGGTATGATAAGAATAGGAGATAGAAATTGGCAAGGCAGCTAGGGTAAAAAGACCCCAAAGAAAAGTAGCCAGTTTCTCTCTTGGCTAAAAGTCAAAATGTCCTTGGGCTTTTCAGCAAAGTACTCTGTCCCAAAGGCCAAAAATGTTAAAAGTATTTGGGAGCTCTTATCCCAAAAAGATTTTTGGGTTACCTCTTCAGAGGGGGGAATGTTAAAATATCAATAGCCCTGATTATGCTGTGTTATCCTGATGCTTGCTCCGTTTCATACAATTTCTTACAAATTGTCACTATTGATAAAATTACTACCAATCAGGTCATGGTCAATTATCAGACTTTGGATTCTCCCAAGATAGGTGAGTTGACTCTTAAAGCTTTTGATGACACTTCTCCATTATAAAACAAAACAGGGGGAGATGTTGGGGAACCCTACTGTTAAGGTCAACTCCTTTCTCAGCAGGGGTTTTCTGCCTGACTTATCTGGAAAGTGCCTCCAAGCACAGATGCCTGGCCTTATTTGGAACATGATCTTTGGCATAGTTACCTGCAATAATACTGCCCCCAGGTTGTTTCTATATGATAATTAGGCATTGCCCTACACCCAGATGATAGGATCCCCCACCACACATAAATAAAGCATACTATGAGCACCTATCAGCTGAAGCTTTGGCTATGGCCTCCACACTATATTTTTCCCTGACCCCCACTGAATAAATGGAGCTGTATCACTGAACCTGACTCCCCGGAATGTCTTTTCCATCTGTGATCACTGGCCATCCTGACCCCATTCATCGCTTCTGCTCCTTTTGTTCCCATGGGTCGGTGGCCATGAGGGGAGGGAGAGACACACACTAGCCACATCTATGCACTTACTTATAAAATCCAGTATGAGAGGAACTCTTAATCAGTTCAGTTCATCCTCTTCCTTGATTTCTTATCACCTTCAGTAACCAAACAAGTTCCTCATCCTACACATTCCCACTTAACTGGCTTTACTTCAGCAAGAACCATGCTAGTCAGTTTAGCCAGTATCTCCTCTACCTCTATGTTCCCTCTTAGTAATACTCCATTCATTGACCACACACTCCTTCTTGGCCATATATTCTCATTTGCCAGCTGCTGTATTCAGAGTAAAGCCAGTTCTCTCTCCCATTGCAGAACTATGTTGCAGCAAACCCTCAACATTTGCCTCCAGAACTTTCACCAAATATTTACTCCTTGGAACTTTTTAGGGTTTTGTCTTCACATTTCAAAAATAATTTTAGTCACTTGCAAATAAATCAGATGTTTGTTAAAGGCAAACAAGGCCTTTAACATTTCTTTCAGACATCATCGATACCAAGAGTAAAACACCATTCCCCAGATTTTGTATCAGAAATTACAAGTGTCAAGTTTACAGTATGACCTAGATTAATTATCATTCCGTTTTCTTCTTAATTTCATTAAGACCATGCACATCCTTTCCATGATTATGTATAACCTAAAGTTGTAGGAGTAGAATATGCTAATTTCCCTTAGTTTTTTAGTAAAGCCCATGTTTGCATATGATAAACAAATTAGTGTGATTACCACATTATACCAGACTTCTCCATTGAAAAGCTAATTTGGGATAAAATTCTAAATTTATGAGGAAAAACACCTTTATAGAGCAGCACAGAACTTCTGTGAATAATTTATACTTGACAGATATCATTGTCATAAGTCCTGATTTTTTTTAAACAACTAAAGACAACTATAGGCTTACATTTGCCAAGGGTTCAGGTATACTGAGAGATTCAGGTATGTAAAAATAAGAAATACAATTGCATGATGTTATAGAAATAATTTGGTTAAAATAAATAACAGAAACATTTACAATAAATTTATAAACCCATTAAATCAGTGTCACAAAATCATTCTATAAATTTATTCACAATAGAGAAATTCTGAATGCAATACCTGTGACTGTGCGTTGATATTGGCTCCTTCCTTAACAAGAACTTTGACAACTTCCGCTTGTCCAGCCAGTGATGCAATGTGAAGAGCAGTATTTCCCTTCTGTTTTCACAAAACAGAATAGAAAATGTTATAGGTTTCCAAGTTTTGTAGAAATCAAAATGTACAACCATTTTTAAATTTATCAATATTTAAACTGATTAATTTTTTTTTTTTGCCAGGGACTCTCTAGTCCCAGCCTGCCAGGAAGGAAATTATTATGTGGACCTGAATTTCATAGAGATCTGCCTGCATCCGCCTCCCAAAGACTAACATTAAAAGCCTGTACCACCATACCCAGCAAAAATTGGCATTTTTATCAAGGTAAGTCATTCACTTTTATCAAGCCTACCTGGCAAAGGATTTTTTTTTTTAATAAAAAATAGTTGTTAATTTTTTCAAGCATCTCCTTTACTATCTTTGTAATACTGCTGCAGTACTAAGAACATCGGAGGGCTGAGTTCTTCATGAAGCATCAGTTTGGAAATGTATATGCATGAGACAATCTGCTGTAGAATTTGTGAAATTTTACCAAAACCTAGAGCCTGCTGAAAGAAAATACTAACTTCAATAAAGTTTATTGATACATTCAGTCTATTTCATCATGTGAAAATAACTAGGGGAACTGGAGAGATGTTTAAGAGCACACACTGTTCTTCAAAAGGACCTGAGTGCAGATCCCAACACCCACATCCACGGACCCAAAATCACCTGTAACTCCATCTCCAGCGGAGCTAATGCCTCTTCGGCCTCTGCACACACATGCAATATACCCCCACCACATACATATAATTTAAAAAATAACTCTTTGAAAAACAAAACAATACAAAGAGACTCTCAATAGCAAGGAAACGCTCTTGCCCTCAGAGTTATGTTTCCATCCACAAGGGCACAATTTTGCTCAAAGTTATTTCAGAAACAGATAAATAAATTCTGAATTGACCATAACATTACTTATGATTTCTAACACTTGCTACATGAAAATTTTTGATACACAGCAACGATCATCAAGGAAAATGAAAATGCAATTAAGATAAAGAACAAAAGAAAATAATAAAATAAAGAACATATAGATTCTGAGACAAAATGTTCAATTTCTGCTTCTAACCAGCTCACTGTGGGGCCATTACCCATTCAGTATTTGTGGGGCTCAGTTTTCTTCTTAAAGGAGTTTTTTTCTCCCAGAAAAATATACAATGCTAATCTAGGATTTAAAGTAAATCTGAACTGGGCATGATAGCACACAAGAGAAACCCCAGCACTAACAAGGCAGAGGCAAGGAGACCCAGTTCTACATCAACCTGGACTACTGTATGTTTCCAAATATATTGATGATATAACGCTTTGATATGCTTTATTAAATAAATTTAAACAAGACCAAATATAGTGTTGGCAAAGCAGCAATATTCTTTAGTTATACTAAGCAAATTGTACATTTCTTAAAAATTGAGTCTAAGTTCTTTACAAACACAATGTAGTGATAAAAATCTAATCTTGGGGCTGAAGAGATGCTCAGTGGATAAAAGCACTTACTGCTCTTCTAAAGGACCCAGGTTCTATTCCCAGCTCCCATATAGTGTCTAACAATCATCTATAACTCAGTTCCAGGAGACCCAATGCCTTCTTCTGGCCTCCAAAGGCATTTGCACACATGTGGTGCACTTACATACATTCACACAAGACATTCATACACATAAAATAAAAATAAATAAAAACTTAAAAATAAGTCTAATCTTACTCTAGCAATTGAATCTATGAGCCAAAAGTTATTTCCCAGTAGAGTATGAAAGCTCTGCAGAGACTCATCTCAAGTAGAATGAATACAATATAAATTTTATCAATTTAACAGAAGCATGAAAATTTTCTCCTTATCCATTAAGAAGTCAACCATATCAATTAATTTTTCATTGAATTTATTTTAGGAAAATAGGTACTATTTTCTACAGAGGATTATGTTGATTCAAGCTTCTTTGTGAATCAAAAGCAGAAAGATAATATATTAGGAGCTAGGTTTCCAGATATCTTGAGTCTCACCTCATGTCCTTAAATGAAATGATTCAAATGCTACAGAGTTTAATGGAGAAGGTTTCAATTTTATTCCTGAATAGTTAATAATTTTGATGCCCCAGAAAAACTCTGAACAGCTAGGAAAAGAAATTAAATCACTTCCTCATGTCTAAGAAACCTAAGTTCAGGAACAGTACCTTAGTGGCAGAATCCACTGAGGACCCTCTTCCCAGAAGCTCCTGTACCAGGCCCACGTGGCCTTCCTTGGCTGCCAGATGGAGAGCATTGAGTCCATTCTGAGAGAAGAATAAGCCAGGCTTAGAGGCAGAGAATGATAAGACAATGTGCTAATCTTATTCAAACACAACTCAGAGAACCAACACACACTCATGTCTCTGCTTTGTTTTTTATTGTTTCTTTTTTGTATTAACTTGAGTCTATTTCAGTCCAGAGGCACTAGTTTCCAGCGACAAAGACAAAAATAATTATGTATTAAAGGCAAGATTTGAGGAATATCAACATAGAGACTGGAGAGATAGCTCAATAGCAAGAGCACTCGTTGTGCGACTATGAATATGAAGATCTGAGTTCAGAGCCCAGAACCCACAGAAAAAGGTGGGCATTGCCATATGCCATCTGTAACCCTAGCACTTGTAAGGGACAGAGACAGGAGGATCACAGTGGCTTAGTGGACACTAGCCTAGCTCCAGCTCCAATTAGAGCTCCTGTTTCAAAGGAATAAGACACAGAGTGATACAGAAGACACCTGTTACCCTTCTTTCATCTCCACATATGAACAGGCATGTTCATTACACACATGCACATATGCCATGTTCATACACATACATATGAACACACACATATACACAAATGAGTAAACAAATGTTTTTCTTATTATTTATTATTTTTATTTTATGTGCATAAATATATTGCCTTCATGTCTCCAAGTTCACTCATGTTGTGCAGTGCCCACGGAGGTCAGAATAGTGTATCAGATGCCCCTGGAACTGGAGTTACTGATGGTTGTTAGCCACCATGTGGGTGCTAGGAATTTCTCATCCCCATAAATGTTTTTCTAATAACAAAATAAAGAGAACATTCTAGGGGCTGGAGAGATAGCTCAGTGGCTAAGAGCACTGTCTACTCTTGTAGAAGACCTGGGTTCAGTTCCCAGCACTCACAGGGAGGCTCAGAACTGTCTGTAACTCCAGTTATAGGGGATCCCATGCCTTCTTCTGACCTCAGGCACCAGGCACAAAAGGGGTGCACTTGCATACATGCAGGCAAAACATTCATACATATAAAATAAAAATAAAAAATAACTTTTAAGAGAACAGTTTGGGCTGGAGAAATGGCTCAGTAGTCAAGAGCACTAGCTGTTCTTGCAGAAGACTGGGGTTTGAATCCCAGCACCCACGTGGCAGCTAATAATCGTCCATAACTCCAGTTCCACAATATCTCACCCTTTTCTGTTCTCTGTGAGCACTGCAGGGCACAGGTGCACTTACATACATACAGGCATAACACTCATACAACATAAAATAACAATAAAAATAAACAATTTTAAAAATAAAATAGTTCTAGAATTTTAGAAAACCTTACATTTTTTTTTTTACAAATGAGAAAGGAGTGTCCATTTACAAAGTGATTAAAAATCATAGAAACATTTTTAAGGAAACACAGCTCTGCAATAACAACATTATACTTAAAATATATTTAGCATTACATCATTCAATAGCCTTTTTTAAAATTGAATTTATCTTAGAATCACTAATAGTGTAACATATAGTTCTCATCCACATAAATCCTTGAAAACTTAACTGTACCCTATCATCCCGGAAAAAAAACTAATGGTACTGTTATCTGAGGGGTAATCAACAGCTATCTAGTTGGACTTAAAGCCCTCTAAATGGGCATGAACTCATGGGTGGCACTGAAAATATAGCCAAATATACATGACTGGAGATGTCATAGATCCTAAAGAAAACTATATCTCTGTCGTGTATCTCTAAACAAATGAAATTTCTTACCATATCCTAATATAGATCCTTATATTTACAGACGAGTATACAGTATACCACTCATCAAAGCAGCTTCTTTTTGCAACAGATGGAGGCTACTCGAGAGTTCCACAACTGGTCACTCACAGAGAAGATACGTGACATTTCTGCAGTGGAACCACTACAGTTAAGACTCACAGAACACAGTGGAACAGGGGATGGAGAGAATACTAGTGTATCCCTCAACTTTCAGCAGCAAAGCTTCCTTATACAACAGAGTGTGATGCACATAGAAGGCTACAGTTGGCTCAGTTTTAGAGAATAAGAAACTGCAGAGTGTGTGTCCTTAAATGGGACTCCTATATCAAACATCACCCACCCATTGCTAAGGAACAATTGCAGAAGATGGGGAAGAAAGATTGTAAGATCCAGGGTTGGTCCATGAACATAGGGAAGCAAAGGCTTTCAGGCCACTGGAAGCTTGCTCAAGTGAACTTGTGGCAACAGTGACGTTAGGCACAAGACCCATGCCAACTCAATCAGACAAGGGCCCAGAGTGGTGTGAGGGAAATGGCTGGCAGGCCAGTCCTAGCCTGAGAACTGTTAGAGACTGATTACAGTTGTGTGAAGGAGAGCAGGACTTCTTTAAGATCTCTAGATGGGCTGAATAGATTCCAGTGGATGAACTTGCGCCAGGGGACATCAGGGTAAAATGATTGACTGGATGGGACTTAACATGTATAACAGAATACATGAGGCCCAGTGTGGGAGGTGGGGGAGCATGGATAGGGAAGAGGGTCTTAATTTGATTAAGAACTGTTGCATGAAGTGTACAAAAGGTCAATAAAAATATTTTTTAAAAAACTAAATGAAATACTTGTTAAAATACCAATGTCATTCTTCATAGAAACACACATACACACACACACACACACACACACACACACACACACACACACACCACATTCCTAAAGTCCATATGAAATCACAAAAGACCTCCCATAACCAAAATGAACTGAAGGGGAATATCATACTAACTGAGATCAAAATATATTACAAAGTTAGAGCAACCCAACAGCATGGCAGTGGTTTAGAAAAACATTTACTTTTCTTTTTGTTGCTGTGATATAATACTGTCCAGTACCAACTTGAGGAGTAAAGGGGTTTATTTGGCTTACAGGTTATAGTCTGGTTATTGAAAGAAGCCAGGGCAAGAACTCAGATAGAGCAAGACCCAGAGAGAACTGAACAGAGACCATGGAGGTACACTGCTTTCTAGCTTGCTCCCCCTGGCTTGCTCAGCTCTCTTTCTAATACAACTCAGGCCCCTTAGTCCCTGGTCCCTTCTACATCAATTAGCAATCAAGAAAATAGCCCCCAGACAGACGCAAAGGTCAATGTGATAGAGGAAATTTCTCAACTGAGGTTCCTTCTTCCAGGTCACTCTAGTTTTTTGCCAAGTTGATAAAAACTAACCAGCACAGACATGTAGATTTTTGAGACTGAATAGAGAGCCCAGAAATCAATCATTGCACTTAGAGTCCACTGATTTTTGTCAGAAATGCCAAGAACACATATTAAGAACACACATTTGGAAAAGATAGCCTTCTCAATAAATTGGGCCAAGAACATTAAATATTCACCTTTAAAAGAATGAAGCTAGTCCCTTATCTTTCACCAGTGAAAAAGAAAAAGAAACCCAAAATATATTAGGGACTTAAATTTAAGAGCTGAAGCTATAAATCAGTAGGAAAAAAATTGTAGGGAAATGTCTCATGACATTGGAATGGACAAGGATTTTTAGGATAAGATCTTTACATTTTTAGAATAAGCAGTGTCAGTAAATGTAAAAATAAATGTGTGGGAGTATGTCTAATAGACAAGCTTCCACGTAGCAAGTAAACAATCAGAAAGGTGGAAAGACAGCCTACAAAATGAGAGAAAACATTTGCAAACAACACATTTGACAGAAGGTGATTTCTAAATACACAAGGCATTCAACTCAATAGTAAAGCAAGCAAATAATAAATCTGATAAAAATGGGCAAAGACCTAACTAGACATTTCTCAAAGAAGGTATACAATGTAAAGCAGATATATGGGAGTGTGGAGAAACCTCAGCATCACTAATTATCAGGGAAATGTAAATTAAAACCATGTACTAAAGCTCTCCAATTAGAATAGCTAGTGGCCTTTATCAAAGACAGAAATGTCATGTTGGTAAAAAATGTGGAGAAAAGTGAACCATTATTACACATTTTTAGGAGGAAAGCAAATTAGTACAGCCAGTTTAGAAAATGGAATAGAGATTATTCAAAAACATTAAAAACAGAACTACTATAAAATCCAGCAATTTCACTACTGGGAATACATCCAAAGAAAATGACATCAGTATGTCAAAAAGATATCAGTGCCCCTGTGCTCAGTGCAGCACTGCTCATAGTAGCAAAGAGACAGAAACAATTTAAGTGGTTATTGGTGGAAGACTGCATAAAGAAAATGGCACATATAAGAACAATGTTATTCACCTATAAAAATGGAACTGTGTCATTGTGACATAAGCAGACCTGGAGAACATTATGCTAATACAGAAATATAAACACTGTTTCACTCTTATGTGGAGTCTGAAAATGTCAACTTGACAGAAGCAGTGAGTGGAGTGGTGGCTGCCAGAGGCTGGAGAGGGTAGAGGAGAGAGTAGGGTAGGCACAGGTCAGTCAATAGGTACCATGTGGCAGTCAGATAAGAGAAATAAGTTCAAAATAGTCAAAGAGAGGCTTTTTAGAGTTCTCAACAAAAACAGAAACAGACGATCACAGGGCTGGAGACAGAGAGCTCAGTGGTTAAGAGCACTGGTTTCTCTTGCAGAAGACCCGGATTCATTTCCCAGCACACACATGGTGGCTAACAAGTCACATAAATATGAACAACTATCATGTGCTAATTAAAAATAAAACAAAGAAAATTACCCAGAAAAAAGTCATTTAAAATATCATGTGATTCAACAAAGAAAGAGGATTTTTCATTTTTTTCACCCCATTAAGGAAAGCATCATATTTTAAAGTTCTTTTTTTTACCTGATTATTGAATGTCCAGCTTCTTAAGTAACCAGCAGGAGTAAAAAAAGTAAACAAATGTAATCTACTTCATAAATAGTCCTCTTAATCTGAGGACAATCAAGAAACAACAAAGTGGAATTAGTTTTAGGAGATAATTAAATATGATATTTAGAGATCCTGTCTCAAAATAAATAGTTTTATTTAAATTTTTATTGAACTGTGAATTTCATACAGTATT